AAGCTTGCAATTCGAATAAGAAGAAGAAGAAGAAGAAGAGTTTTTTTTAGATTTAGAGCATATTTTTTCTAAGATTGAGAGATAAGAATTTTGTGCGATTCTGATATTGCAATCTCTCTGGACATGCTTGTCTGAAATTCAAGGAATCCTAATTCCGGAATTTTATGAATACTGTTTTTTTTTTTAAATTTAGAGTGTTGTGTTCATGGAATTTAATGGTTCTCTTTGCCGAATTTAGTGAATATCTTTTTTTTTGGAATCATTCAATTTTTCTGGGAGTTGATTAATTTCTATTTCAAAATTCAAAGAATTTAGCGAATTATTTTCATGGAATTCATCCGAAATTCATTGAATTCCTTTTAGAGGATTCAAAGAATGTCATTTCCAGGATGTATGGAATGTTTGGGATTCAGAGTACAAACTTTCCGGAATTCAAAGAATCTCATTCTCGGGATTTAGAGAATTCCTTTTCAGGACGAGTTGGAGATTATTTTTTGCGGGATTCACCGAGTTGTATTTTTCTGAGCATAAGAAATCTGGGAAAGAAAATTAATTTTTCAGGATCGAGGACATCCTTTTGCGGTGGTTGGAGAATTCCTATTCCTTAATTCAAAAAAGTAAAAGAATCTCTTTGTGGGGAATCTCTTATCTGGAATTCAAAGAATATAATTTCAGAGATTTTGAATACCGTATCCGTTTCACTGAGAATATTGTTTCTGAGAATTAGGGAATATCGTTTTTGGAATTCAGAACAGTCATTGTCCGGAATTTAAAGAATTTCGTTCCCGGAAGAAAAAAGCATTTCCTGTGCGAGTTGCAGTGAGTTTTCTTAACGATTCCCATCACTGGTTCTGAGAATCCCAATACCTAAAATTGATAGATTGGTTCCTTATCGCAAAATATTAGAATATCAGATGTTATAGTGGTCCAAAAAATTGTTTTTTTTTTTTTTTTTTTTATCAAAAATGGCTTTTTCAAAAACTAATAACTTTTGATCCACTGAGCTGTTTTCACGGATCAAAATATCAAATGAAATGTAATGGAATGTATGTTTCAGAAAAAAAATAATTAAATGATCTTAAAACTCTATGAATCGACCTATATTGAGTTTTAAAATCGGTCGAGTGGTTTAAAACTAATGAATTTTTGAAAAAAAAAATCGTTTTTTTGGACCATCGTAATATGGAAATGATCACCCTGACGAAAAAAAAAAAAAAAAAAAAAATGCCGGTCTAATATTTTGCGATAAGGAACAAAACTATTTTTTTACGAAATTCTGAGAACAACTACATCGGTTTGCTATGGAATGGCTGTATATTAATAAAAAAAAATGATTTTCTTATAAAGCTAGCTAGTCGTCAACTATCCATGACTACCCTCGAATACAGCACCACGTATTTCTTTTGGGGAGGAAATTCTAGAATTCTATGAAACCATTTTTGGAGATTTAGAGAATATGATTACCGGCATTCAGATAACGACGTCTTCAGGATTCAGGACCATCTTTTTTCGGGACTTAGAGGCCACATATTCCAGCATTTCCAAATTTTTTAAAGGTTTCAGTTAATCTCTCTTGAAGGTTTCAGAGCAGCTTCGGAAAAGTTCCCTAAATTTCGCTAAGTTCTCCAAGAACTCCTCGCTATCATAGTTTCTTGACGGTGCTGATGGTTGATTGGTATGTCACCCCAGTAGGTCTGGGTTTAGTCCCAGCTCCTTAGCTTGGGATTTTGTGAGGCGTAAATTCTCTGGTAACGTCTTCCTTCGAAATGGTAGTCAGACTGTTGGTGATGGGCTCGATATGTAGGCTCCAGGGTGTGTAGTCGTCTCCTTCGCTCCGGTGATTGGCTATGGTTTGCGGAACAGGGACCGTCAGAATTTCAAATATCTTTGTGGAGTTCAGCAAGTTATTTTCAGGGATCCAGAGAATTTCATTTTCAGGATCCAAATATTTTGTTCTGGGAGTTAGATAATTCGTACTGCGAAGTCAAGAAATTTAGAGAAATTCAGAGAATCCCTTATCCGGGATTCAGGGAATCCCTTATCCGGGATTCAGGGAATCCCTTATCCGGAATTCAGGGAATCCCTTATCCGGGATTTGGGAAATCCCTTATCAGGGATGCAGAGAATCCCTTATCCGGGATTCAGTGAATCGCTTATCCGGGATTTAGAGAATCCCTTATCTGGGATTCAGGGAATCCCTTATCCGAGATTCAGAGAATCCCTTATCCGAGATTCAGAGAATCCCTTATCCGGAATTCAGGGAATCCCTTATCCGGGATTCAGGGAATCCTTTATCCGGGATTCAGATATATTTTTTTAATTCAATTCAATTACCAAGATTAAGAGAATGTGGATTTAGTCTTTTGTGGGATCTCCATGTTACGGAAATCAGTGAATTCAATTTCCTGAATTTATGAAATTTTATTATTTTTTTACTTTGACTATATGTTTAGTATTACTTCTGCGTCCCTTTCCAAAAGGGGGAGTTTGGTAAAGAGAGATGAAACAACCGATTTGTACCTTCCTTAAAAAAGTTGTCCTAGCTCGCTATCTACTATCTATATGCAATTTTCACACTGCCGTACTCTAACGGAACTATCAACTCTATACTTTCATCTCCTCCATCTATCGTATAAAAATTACCACTTTAGTCTGTTATTTGAAATTAGCATCTTCAACTATTTTTTTTGTTTTTTCCTTTGATTAGTTTTCCGTCGATCTTGTTTTCCATGCTGAGCACCAATGCTACAGACGCCAGTTAGGCAGCTTCCACACCTGGACCCTACCTATCGACCCATCAACTCATGGACCGGGGACTAACGGCTTTACTTTCCTTCCGAATGAAGGCATGATCAGCGATTGTATGCCTCAATAAATCCCGGCGGTGCCGGCTGGGATTGAGCCCAGGCCTTTTGGGGAGACAGGCAATCACGCTTACCACTACCTCACCGACGCCACTAAGTTTAAATATTAGATTTTATTTAATTTAGTTTTAGGGATTTTCAAAATTTGTTCAGGATTCTGATAATTTCCTGCAATTCAGATAATCCGTTTTCAAGGGTCAGGGAATTCGTGACCTTTGTGAGTTACAGGGAATCGCATTCAAGGATTCATATCAAACTATTTTCGGCATTAATTAAACTTTAATAAATTTGGAAGCGTAGAAGCTGAGAAAACTTCGTAGAAGCTCATAGCGCTTCGTAGAAAATCAAGGAATTTTATAGAGGTTAATCTAATTTCCTAAAAGTTCAGAGATCTTCGTATACTCAGTATAGGTTTATCATAGGACTTATTTCAAAAAAGTTCAATGAACTTCTTGGAATTTTGGTAATTTCGTATTGGTTGAATAAAGAGATCTTGATTGAAAAAAAAAAAACTATGGAACTTGGAACAAGTTAAGCAAACACTATATTAGTTATAGAAAATCAAAACAAGTTCAGCAAAATAGGTAAAATCAGTTTTAGTTTGTACAAGCTATGGGCAATCAATTATTGAAACATATCGAATATGCCATTTTAAACCATGGGCAACTATTCAAAATGAGTTGGTTGGAAATGTTATCTAAGATGGAGCTTAAGTGTGATAATTTATTAGCTAGAGAATGGTCTGAAGCAGTGTTGGAATAGTCAACATTAATGCGACAGTACTAGCACAGAGAACAGACGTCCAACTTCCACCAGAAACTTGTGTAAAGATAAGTGGGAACGTCACCATTACGTGGCGCTAGCATCTCCTGATTTCCTCTATAAATTTTCCACTTTCGACCAATTTGGCGCAAGTATCGATAATTTTTCGGTTGAAAATTACCACTTGGCGCCACCGAAACTTAGTGTCCAGTGTAAGTTGTGCAACGCCAGTGTCATCATGTTGTCAAAGAGAGGTTTTAAGTGGGAAAGTCGGCGTTGGTGGCGCTTAAGTCGAACAGGAATCTTTACACAAGTTTTTACAGAATATGAGTTCAAGTCTCAACGTCTGTTCTCTGTGGTACTAGTTAAACGCACAGTTATCTACTTAACTCGTACAACTTGTTCCACAGCCGCAGACAGTATATGAGCAAGTCTAACGCACACAATCTCCTCGTACATTGTACGAGTTAGGTAAAGAAGCGTGCGTTTGACTAGTACTGTCACATTAATGGCCCTTCGCTCATTTTCAACTTCTATTCAATTTCCATACTGCCGTGCTCTAGCGGAACTATCTACCTACCCTCTTTAGACCATTCTCTAGCTAATAAATGATCACACTACAGCTTTATGTTAGATCGCATTTCCAACCAACTCTGAAAATCGTAAACTTCACGTACGATGTAATATAAAAACACTTTGATTTTTTTTCAAAATGACCGATTTTTAACAGATATTCGAATCATTGCCCATACACGGCCGCTGCATTTATCTCAAATTTAAGTTCCGTTCACTAAAATTCTCAAAAAAGACTAAGTAAACTGTCCTAGATTTTTCTCATATTCGAGCAGATTTTGAGTATAATCTACGAAAATTTACTCAGCCTATGAATGACCTGCGTTTTTGCGAATTGAGTAAACGGATCTCAAATTTGAGTCAAATTCAGAGGCCGTGTAGTAAACAATTTATCAATGTTTCATGGAAAGTGGAGAAGGTTGAGTTTGATCTATTAAACAGTTAGCGTTAGGCTGGAATTTTATCTCGGATGTGAAGAAGAATTTGGTATGTGTGATGTAAGATTCATGCGATGTGATTTGGATTCATGGAAACGGTCGACTGCCGTTGTTGGATCAGTGTGGTTGAACTCGTTCTTGGAATTGGTGTCCATACGAGTGATTGACGGAAGTTTCTAGCTACGCAGCATATAACGTTTCAGATTTTTCCCACAATACAAGTGGAGTTTCAGAACTGGTAGGTATGAGAGATTCTTTTCCCTTGAATCTATTCCAATTTTGCGAACAAATTTCTCACCGACACGTGAAATACCTCGAAGGAAAAATTAATCCTACCATCGTTGACCACCGTTCCGCTACATACCTATCAGAATGGCGCAGTTGTCCTCGCCACGGATTTCCCTCGGTGCGTACTGGCCGTAGAGGACCGCGAATCCCGTCAGTAGATCCGATGCGCCTACATTGCCCAGAAACAAGTATGTGGTGTATGGCTGTTGACCTGGAAGGAAATTGAAACGTGGCCATGAGTGCGAGCGAACGAGAGATTCAAGTACCGAACCATAATGGTTATGAATATGTATGTGTAATGTGCATGCCTGTATGCGTACATGGGTGGTGGGAAACGGGAAAAACGGGGATCATCTTTCTTGCGTCGTCGTCATGGTCATCGTCGTCATATGTATGTTTGCGTGGCAATTGCGAAGTGGAAACACTCTTTCCGGATGCAGCTTTGAGGTACGGATTCGTTGAATATTCTTGTTCAAGCTTATTATGTCCCTGGAACTGGAACTTTACGCCTGCTTTTCATATATTAACGATTGCCATTTTGTGCATGTATATATCGTGAGGCAAGTCTAGGGAAATTGAGACACTTTCTTTCCCGAAAAATTCCTCGACCCATCTGAGAACCCAAGTAGTATTTTTTGTTTTATTGCACTCTATTTGTGGTTTTTGAGATCAATTTTATAAAACCGTCAATAAAATTAATAGCTCCAGCACAACCTTCCAGTCTTCCAGCTTAGTGGACCACTCTTGATAAGGTTTATAAAGCTTGTTTGAGAATCACAATAAAGCTGTCTTAAAAACTTTTGTAAGAAAGCCCCATACTCTACAAAAGGTTCTCATAGCCTCTTTAAGAGTAATATTGTATCCAAGCAGTTTTATTTCGCTTTGGTAAAAATCATTAGTAAAGCCAATTTAATTTTTATTTCTTCAAAGCAACCGTCATAAATTAGTTTGTTGCTGTTCTGTTCTGCTGAAACTTTTTTTTCCATATGGAAATCTTAAGCGGTGAAAATAGGTTTGAGTGTTGGTGTCAAGATCACCATGCAATCAATTTTGTTTCATGGTGACATTAGTGAAAATCTTAAAGAAAATATATGACTTCTTAGAAGTTCCAAAACATATGCGCTTGAAATTTTATCGTGTATATTGGGATAATATGAGCGTTAAATAAATGCGCCTCCAAAATAATTCAAGTTATCAAAAAAGATTGTTTCAGAAATCAAATTCATTTGATGGAATCATCTTAGTTTTACAGAAATTAGATCTCAATAAATAAATTCATACCAATGCACGCAGGAAATCAGTTCGGATCTCTAATTTAGCCATTATTCCAATGGCATTTTCATAATGACAATGAAAGCAGAACAGAAAAGCATAATGCATGATTTTGTTTCGAGCAATATTTTATTTTTACAAGAGCAATTCATTTGTTTAGTTGAGGGCAAATGTATATTCCTATTCTACGGGTGCAACCGATGAATTTTACAAACATTTGGAAAAGTTTTGAATGGTACATTAACCTTTATTAATATTTATGCGTGATTTCAACTTTTTGTACTAGAACTGTCACCATTCCATGTATTGTCCATTCACAAGTTCTATAAGGTCCACTGCTACGGTAGTTTTAGTCAATGGTCTAGGATCGCGTGGCAGAATGTCCGATAAGCGAGTACTAAAAAAGGAAAGAAAGTCTTCAATGTTGATTGTTGAATTGTTGTGACCATCCACGACTGAAAATCTGATAAGAGACGCAAGGTGGCGTAGGTATCATCCTCCGACTCCAGATAATTATATATTTCCTCTTCATGAGTCATTTTTGGTGTAGCAATGTTTCTATTCGAAGTGAAGATGGTTCAGAATGGTGAGGAGGCACACTCTTTACAGCTTCCTTTGTGACATCCGCAGAAAATGCAGCGGAATTTTTTGTTCTTGGTTGGAGTTACTCACGAAGGTTTACGGCTGACTGTAGCAAATAAACGGGCTCATGCTAACAATTTTGTTGATTTTCTTTGCGCTCCGCTTGGAAGTACCGGAAGGGTTTGATTCTTTTCTATGTTTTAAAAATAAACCGTCCATCTACACTTCTGACTGGTTGCAACTGAATGCTTATAATTGTTTTAAAATAACTGTTTCATGGTCAACTAGTTTTATTGCGCTTACTAATGTAGCAATGTAAGGATTAATTTTCGGGTTTTATAAGGGCAATTCATATTGTTTTTTTTTTTTTATACTTCAAGGCAATCATAAAACCTTTCATAAGTGAAAAAGCATAAGCATCAGTTGGTTTTTTTATAAGCTTTAAAGGGGTTTTTGTAGATAGCTATAAGAATGTTCCATTACTTGCATTGTATATGACCGTCATAAAGCTGTAGGTAATGGTTGCAGCTGCAATAAAACCTTTATAAATTTTGAATATAGCCAAGCAGCTCTAGATTTGTTACTTGGGATATGATGAGATGACATGCATTTCGATGGTAAGCTGTTGGTGATTTACCAACAACTGATTGTAAAACAGATCTGGTACCTCTATATGTGCAATTAGATCAACATTCGAAGTTCATCCTTTTATACATATTCTGCACAAAAGATACTTTGTGCAACGCGCCATTTATAAAAAAAAACGGCGGGAAATCCTGTCAGTTGCGGAGCTTAGATATTTTTTTGTGCAGAATATGTAAATATATGGCTTTGTAGTGCTGGGTAAGATGCGCCAACGCGTGATTGGTTGGCAGCCGATCAACGCGAGGATGTGCAAGTTGAGGATTAAGGGCCGTTTCTTCAACTACAGCATCATCAACGTGCACTGCCCACACGAAGGGAGACCCGACAGTCCGCATCGTGCTCTCTTGCCGTGCGGATCTATTTGCTTTTTGCTGAAGGAAGTGTTACTACTACCTAAAGCTACAACAAATTTAAACAGCACTTTTCAGTGCTCAACCTGTAAAAATTTTCTACCTTGTTCAACTCTTATTCCTCTTCGATCCTTGTTTGGACCCTACCCGAGGTAATCCTTCTTGGATATCGATTTGGAAAATTCCTCTTCGATCCTTCAGATTCTTATAGTAATCTGCTTGGAAGTCGATTTGGATAAAAATTTACTGCCGCCATGGCGCCTAAACGCAAAAGAAAGGGGCAAACTCTTGACCCCCCTTCTGATGAAATTAATTTGAGTAATCAATTTGATTTGCTCACGGATGATGAGAATGATCCATCATCCAAGAAAAATTCTAGTAAACTTTCCCGGCTTAATGCCAAGAAGGAAAAGATTCCCCCTATTGTGATAACCACTACCGATTTCCATGCTCTTCGCATGGAACTTTTGAATTTCGTGAAAGTTAAGTTTTCACTACAAATTGGACGTCGGGGTGAATGCCGTGTATTGGCTGAAACCTTGGACGGATTTAAATGTCTTCTCAAGTATCTTACTGAGAAGAAGCACAAATTTTTTACTTACGACACCAAAACTGAACGTGTGTTCAAGGTTGTCATGAAAGGACTGCCCAGTGGTGAATCCCTGGATCAGATCAAAGATGAACTGGCAAAATTACTTGGAGTTGTGCCACTCCAAGTAATCAAAATGAAAATGAAATCCCGTCCTGGCGATTCGCGCAACGGGATTTCTAATGATTTTTATTTAGTTCACTTCAAGTCTAGTGAACTAAACAACCTTAAGGCCTTAGAAAAAGCTAGCCTTATGCTCCATGTCCGAGTGAAGTGGGAACACTTCAGGAAGACTGGAGGAAATTTCCAAAACCTCACCCAGTGCCGTAAGTGCCAGGGATGGGGTCACGGAACTAAAAATTGCTACATGCCAGCTAAATGCATGAATTGTGGTGATTCCTCTCACGCAAAGGACGACTGTCCTGTGAAGGAAGATCCTAAGAAATTTAAATGTTCAAATTGTGGTGAAAACCACAAATCCAATTTTTGGGAATGTAAGACTCGCAAAGCGATCCTACAATCTCGTTCTAACCGTCAGGTAGGAAAGGCTCCACGTTTCCGAACAGGTACAAATTCCTCTGCTGTTAACAACGGTCAGCGAGGAACAAATTCTACATTCGTACCCGTAGGTACAAATATCTCCCCTGCTTCAAATGTTTCATCTGTACCTACTCCCCTCGCTGCTAACAATGTTCAGCGAGTTAATGGAGCTACCTATGCTGCTATTGCAGCGGGTAGAAATCAAAATACTAACCAACGTTCTAATGGAAATTTTGACAATTTTGACTTAGGAAGCATTACTGCCCCCAAAATGGAATTTTTACAGAATTCATTAATTGACATGATTTCTGATATGCTTAAATCTAACTCCATGTTTGATGCTATTCAAACTGGAGTAAAATTTGCAAATAATATTGTCATGACTTTAAAATTCAGTAATGGATTTTAAAGCATTAAATATTGTAAATTGGAATGCTCGATCTCTTAAAGATAATGAAGACGAGCTATTTAACTTTTTAAGAGTTCATAACGTGCATATTGCCGTTATAACTGAAACGTTCCTTAAACCTGCCCATAAGGTTAAGAAGGACGCAAACTACTTGATTTATAGAAATGATCGTCTTGATGGACCCTGTGGTGGCGTTGTCATCATTATTCATAGACGAATCAAACATAAAATTCTTTCTTCATTTGAAACCAAAGTTTTTGAAACTTTGGGAGTTTCTGTTGAAACAAAATTTGGACAACTTACGTTTATAGCTGCCTATTTGCCATTCCAATGCGTAGGCCAGCAAAAGAATTTTCTCAAGGGTGACCTCCAGAAACTTACCCGTCATAGGTCTAAATTCTTCATTATTGGTGATTTTAATGCAAAACACCGCTCATGGAATAATGCTCAAAGCAATTCCAATGGTAATATTCTGTTTGATGATTGTTCTGCAGGTTATTACACTATTCAATATCCAAACAGCCCAACATGCTTTTCTTCTGCAAGAAATCCCTCCACTATTGATTTGGTCTTAACTGATTCATGTCAACTTTGTAGCCAATTGGTTACCCATGCTGACTTCGGTTCTGATCACCTTCCAGTAACTTTTGAAATATCCCAAGAAATAATTTGTAATCCCAACAGCTCTACTTTCAATTACCATAGAGCTGATTGGGAGCAGTATCGAACATTTATGGAATATAACTTCGATCCAAACATTCCTTTGCAAACCAAAGATGAAATTAATTATGCTCTTGAATCTCTGACTACTTCTATAGTTGAAG